CCGTGCAGCTGCAGTGGTCAAGTCAAAACAATCGACTGAAAACCTCCAAGTCCACTTCCTTAACCACTAAGTCACCACTGCCCGAGTTAGCTACACTAGGCAGAAAGGACAGGGGCAGGTGTTTATTTGTGAGTGAGCATTTGCTGTCACTGTACTTTGCTACTTTTTGTGCTATGTGCATGATGTTGTTGCAGATAAGGTTTCACTGTAACATAATTATAAACTGGGGGGGCAGCAATGAGTCAACTGGCAGTGCCGTACAGTAAGCTGCTAGTTCGAGACCTCAGTGCTCTGAATATACTATGTTTAGTTCCATTACAACTACACACTTTCTCACTTCTGCAGGTCTGAGTAAATGTCAGTGCAAAACTAAACTAGTGATCAGCTGCATTTTTAAACACAGTAGTGGTGATGAAGAGAATTGACACAGAACGAGCAGTCACAAAGTTTTAAAAGCTTTTATGAATGTATGTTAAGATGTTCACATGTTGGACATAAAGTTCCTACTTAATGTGGTTATTTAATGTCATCCCAGTCTCCACACACACACACACACACACACATATTTATATAAAGTTTCACATTTAACATACTCATGGTGAAGCACATCGCTGGCAGCACACTGATGTTGGTTTCATGAGGAACAGTGATCTCCCTTAATTATACATGATGTGTCACAGAGAAGGAGAAGAGGGTGGAGAGAAGGAGGGCAGGAGCTGGTAGGATACCGACGAAAGATGCAAAAATAGAATGTAAGGTTTCCAGGGGAGTTAATGTGAAATTGAATCAGACAATAGACCGGGATGAAGGAAAGAGCAGTAGAGCAAGGGATGGGAAAATGAGGACTCAGAGGAGAGACTGGAGAGGTAAGAAGGAGACAGATGGGAAGAGGAGAAAAGCGAGTGATGATGATAAGGGAAGAGGCGCTAAAAGCAGCAGAGGTCAATGTGTATTGATTTTGACTTGTCTGTCCTGCAGCAGAGTTGACTTAACATTACCACTACACATGAGAGCAACAGAATGGACAGACACACAGCTTAGGGATTGAATCACACACACACACACAGAGAGAGCGCTACAGTTGTCCCTTTGACTATGTCTTGTCATCAAACAGATGATAGCAAAACACACCAACATGATGAATGATGCTATTCTGAAAACTATTTTGGTTTATTTTACCTTCTAAAAAAGCAAAACTCTATCACGTTGACTTATAACACACAGGACTGTATGTATTTTGGAGTATTTCATTCACATCCATCACCAATTAAACAGTTATGTTTTTCAATAATGTGGCATCGAGATTTACTGACTTGTGCTTGGATCAGGGAGTGACTTCATCCAGATGTATAACTGCAAACATGGCCAACACTAAAGACAAATAGACAAATACGTTTGTAGGTTTGCATAGGACAGTACTTGCATTCGACTGTTGACTCTGCAAGTATACCATACATGTCATTTCCCCCTGGTGTTGACCATAGATACTTGTAGCAGTTATTCTTGTGGGAAAAGTTTTGACTGAGTTATCATTCTTTTTCAACTGCTGAGTCATTTCCAGCTTCATACTGTATTAACCGTTGAAAAGTCCTTTGGGTCTGTGTCTGTGTGTGTGCATGAGTATGCGTGTGTGTGCATGTTCCTGTACTGCCAACTTTTCCTCATATTCCTTAATACTCATATTCTGGGACATGATGAAAATCATTGCAAGGACAAACGGTGTGTACAAAAATGTGAAGGACCGCACAAGGGTTAAAAGGAACAAACTTCCACACTGCCAAACTTTCAAACTGATACCTATAGAGCAGGGGTGACAAACATACGGCCCTGGGGCCAAAACCAGCACCTTAGCATGTTTAATCCAGTCCGCTTGATGAATTTTGAGAAAAATACATAAACACTTCATGTTCAGGATGTTTTTTGGAAAAATATATTACATTAAAAACGAATAAATAATAATAAATATCCTTGTACTTGTTTGCTTGAAAACAAGAGGAAAAAACATGGACTTATTGTTATTTATAGTTAATTATGTTATGATTGTACAGGTCCCGCCCACTTGGCATCTAATTAGGTTGTATGCAATTCCATAAACCAGAATGAGTTTGACACTCCTGCTATAGACAATTAAGAGCGTTTAATTATCCTACATTATATGTTTAAGGACTGTGGGAAATGGTTGTAGTATCATGAGAAATCCCACATACACAACTCCATACAATAGGATCGTCTGTTACAGCCAAGGTTTGAATGGCACTACCCACCTAGAGTTCAGATTTATATTAGTGATAAATATTTTACCAGCTCACTCACTCTGAAACCAAAGCATTTGAACACTGGATTATTACTCAGAGCAGAGAAGGGAGGGGCCAATTTCATACTTAACTTATTAAGAGTAAGTGATTTTTGCTTATTGTAATAAGAGTATAGAAACTTACTCCAGTTTTACTTTTTTTAAACTTTGCTACACAGTCTCTTTTTTTTTAATCACATCACACTTTCTCACTTCCATCTGTGTCCCCTGTAATAGTCCTGTTTAAATGTACACCTGCATCAATGACACAGTGTCCACCCTCACAGAAGGGCATTCCCTCTAAAAATCTGCTCTAAAAATATTTGCAGCTTTCTCACTCAACCTAGATATTTCAACGGCATTAAGCAATCAGGAAAATCCATTCGGAGCTCAGAGGACATGGCTAATGGACCCATGTTTTATGCAAAGCAGAAAAAGTGACATTTTAGATTACGGTTCTTTGGAATAAGGTCAGATACATACTGTAGCTTCGAACACGAGACACTGTTAAGACACTTGCTTACGATTACTATTGAATATTTTGACGCAAAGTTTTGATGATTTTACTGCAGAACCATCGTTGGCATTATTTTAACCTTAAGTCTGCATAACAGAAATGACAAAAATAACAATAAATAGATAAATAAATAAAAAGCAAGGCAGTGACAGTGAAGAGAGTGACAATTACACAGATTCACACCCTCACAGTTGGAGATGTGAGGCTCTGTTCAGCGGTGAAACCAGAGCTGCTGTTGTGGAGCCACAGAAGTGTAGTAGCGGAGCACAGGATGTCATGAAATATGTAGGAGGACCAAGGCCAGCATGGAAACACAAGGCCATTAAAGAAAGCTCTGGAAAACACAGTCAGTTAGAAATATAACTGTCCACTTCCTTATCAGGCATGGATGCACAGACAAACACAGCTAAAAGCACAATCGCATGCAGACACACAGCCTGCTATTCAGGAGTATTCCATTAATGCATTCCATATAACGTGTTAAAATGTTTCCACACTGAGTTAAACACACTTTTTGTGCTCTAACACACACACCTGCAGGTAAACTCTAAAACACAAAGAAACACAAGGCCCTTCCTCTTTTTCCACTTTACACTTTGCACTTAATGGTGCTCTGTAAATGATTAATTAGGAACACATAGAAGATGAGTGTCATGGTGAGTGTGACACGTGGCGAGCTGTGGTCAGTTTTTCATGTCACCAATGAGATCTCTCACAACGATCTGAACTGTGTTCAACATGTGCCGACAAGCTGGAGTACTTTGAAAGATTTAGTACATTTAAACTAACGTCTTTGGCTTCATTAGTAAAGTTAATGCAAGCAAAGCCTTGGGTCCTTTGATAGGACTGTTTGGTTTTTACATATCTTACAAATTCTAGCTCCTGTCTGGCATTTTTTTAAATCTAGGAATGCATGGTAAATGATAGAAAAGTAGTAAATACTAGCTGAAATTGATTGTTTAAATGATCGATTGACAAAATAACTATCTATAATGCATAGGACCAGTGTAACAATCTAGATTAATTTAGTTAAATGATATTTATTATCAGAGGTGAGGACTCAAGTCGCATGACTTGGACTCGAGTCAGACTCGAGTCATCATTTTGATGACTTTAGACTCGACTTGACAAAATGTAAAGAGACTTGCAACTCGACTTGGACTATAACATCAATGACTCGTGACTTCACTCGGACTTGAGCCCTTTGACTCGACAAGACTTGATACTTTCTCCAAAACCCAAAGATTAAAAAAAAAGTTATTAAGGAGCGCTCTGTATCTCTCTTAGTGTACGTGTGTACGTCTGTGTGTGTATGTGCTGTCGGCACAACATCCAATCAAATTAGACCCACGTTTTGGCACGATAGCATCGAGCCAATCAAATTGCGGGACAACCAATGACAAAGAGCTGTCAAACAACGTGTGGGAGAGAGAAAATGATACCAAAGATCGTGTGGTTCGGCTTTAAAAACTGTGAGGCGATCAACAAAAAACGGATTGCAGTGATCTGTGTTAATAGATCATTATTTTGTTTAAAATGACTCGAAAGGACTCGAAACAGAAATGGCAGGACTTGGGACTTGACTTGACACTTTTCAGTCTTGACTTAGACTCGACTCGGAATTTGCCTGTCTTGACTTGAGACTTGATTTGGACTTGAATGCAAAGACTTGAGACTTACTTGTGACTTGCAAAGCAATGACTTGGTCCCACCTCTGGATTATTATTACAAGAAAAATGGATGAAGCAGCTATTGAAATGTTGTCATTAATAAGTAATTACACTGCCTTATTTAGCTACCTTTATGGAGAAAACATTTGTTTCTTATTTAGAAGAAACCTTCCTGCTCTGTCATCAGCTCTACCCTTCCTAACACTCAACCAAGACAAACTTCAACCTAACTTCTCTCCACATCTTTCAACTCAAATGCAGTAACCATATGTTCCTCTTCTCTCTGCACTGTAGACTGCATTCTTTAGGTTATTTATGGAGCAAGGTATGTAAATGACCAGAAAGAAGAATAGTTACCCTGACATTGTTGTCTAATGGTATTAGTCGTATATCTTTTTACGAGGATTTTTCGTAGCTTTATAAATAACTCCAATAATCACCTTAATCTATTACAACCAAGTAATTTTCACACAAAGCACGGAGTCTGAGGTGAATGAGGTTCGTGTGGCAGGTTCATTACCTGGATGCTGCAGGAGATCTCGGAGTCGTCCAGTAACCGAATCGTGCACAGGGTCTCCTCGTCCATGGACTGGATGCTGGCTCTGCGGAACCGAAGCATTTTCATCCTTCTCCGTCTAGTTTCAGCCCCTCATGTCAGCGGATCCACGGGCAGACCAGCCGCTCATGTATACACACAAGCTAACTCACACATGTATTTACTGCCTTACAGTGAATACAGGTCCAGTGAACCCCTGTGACGCCCCTGGAAATGAAGAGATGAGAGATAAATGGTTGACGGCGAGGATGGATGGATAAAACAACAAGCAAAAACGGAGAGGATACATCCGTCTGCTGGCTGATCACTGATGGAGCTACAGGAGCAGAGAGGAGGGGCTCTCTCTCTCTCTCTCTCTCTCTCTCTCTCTCTTCTCTTCTCTTCTCTCCCTCTCTCTCTCTTTCTGTCCAACCTCCTTACCACCTGTTGTCGTTACAGCGGGTACACAAATGTTTACAGAAAGAACAGCTGTAGTTTTTAAAATAATCAAATCTTTTGTGTTTCATTACAGCAATGTTTACATATAAACAGAGATAATTCTACATACAAAGATAAGTCATTTAATTTTCCGGCGTCTACAGGATAATTGTGTTTATTAATTGCACGTTCCGTTTTTAAAACACAACACAATGGGTTTAAATGAAAAATGTCGCGTTTGCGTTCCGCTTCCCATACAATATAACCAAAAACACAACACTTATTGCAATTTACGAAAAAATCTTTCGTAAAAAAGCTGAAAGTAAGCAGAGTCCCTTTAACTGACGCAATGCGATGTCATTGGCGTGCGTCGCTTCAGTAAATAATCCGTGGTCGTAGTCCGGAGGGAAGTGGTATGTGATTTCAAACCATAATGTATTCGGTGTTTTGTTTTAAAGCAGCAGAAGAAAACCTGTGTTTAATGCCACATATTGTATGTATATTATTTATACCAAAATACTCGCTGACTGTAGCAGTAGTAGAAAAACGTTAAAATTGCAGACACAGAGACACAGTGGAGTGTAATAAAGGAGAAAGAAAGAGTCGTGAACGACGTGATAAGGTTATTGTAGCTTGCTGACCTGTTAAAATGCTGGCGTGACTGGACAGGACCTAAGTGCCTTTCAGACTCATCACTGATGTCAGTTATTGATCCCACACAGCGTATATGTAAGTTAATTTGTATTAGATATTTGTATTATAAAATACAACTAAAAACAGTACAAGTAAACTAAAAAAATGCAGTCATAGGATAATCATTGGAGCTCTGTTGCTGACCAAACAACATCGTCATTGATTTACAACCAATTCAGCCAAAAATATTCTGATCTTGTTTTTATTTTATTTAATATTACATAATAATAAAAAAAAAACAATGTCTGCATTTACAGTTCATTTTGTGACCAGTACTGGAGGAGAGTGTGTCCTTATGTAACTGATGTTCTTCTCACAAGATGATCTTCATCATTATGGGAGTCTCCGGCTGTGGGAAGTATGCACACTGTCTGTCTGTGAACAAAAACAAAACATAAACAACATCTTTAAAAGTTCAGTGTTAAGATGACATAAAGGTAAATACATTTAGACCATAAAGATGTACTCATTTCCACATGCCCTGTGTGTAGATGGCTTTAAAGGGTGCTATTGGTTTCTCTATGCTTCTGCTGCAACCTCCACATTATGATTTTATTAAGAAAAGTAACTGCTGCTTCTACAAAAACTAAATTTATAATCCATAACATTTTGGCATCACCACTCGACACTTTTTAATGTAGCTGATGCAGTATCAGCTACAGTATCAGTATGATGCAGTTTTACTTTCTCTCAGAAGCAGCCTGGGTGCCGTCCTTTCAGAAAAGGTAACTGTTACTGTCTACAAGGAGGAATTTAGTTAAAAAAATGTTTCAGGTCCTGGTTTGATGCTAAGCTTCTCTTGTTTGTCCTTGTATCTACAGCTGGGTTGGCCACTTCATGAAGGAGATATTTTCCATTCACAGGCTAACATTGAGAAGATGTCACGTGGTGAACAGCTCACAGATGAGGTCAGTGGGATCGTTTTCTTTTTGCAGTGGATTTATTAATTAGACCAAAATATACAAGTTATTCTTGAAAATGTCTTTCATAGCAATCAAACTGATGAGAAAGTAAGGACTAAGTCAAATATTACCTAATTTTATAGTTATTACTGACCATAGGGGTTTAACAGTAGTAGTACTAGTACCAGTACAAACAAAATGCAAGGAACTTTTAGTGGTGGACAAATCTACTCTGTGCGCTTCCAAAGAAAATTACATATGTCACAAAGTGTAACAGTCTTTTTGAGTGGCAGGGACTTGAACCCAAGTCTTCTGCATCATTGTCAGAGGTGTCAACCTCTGGTCTATTCTGCCACGTAAAATGGGTTCTGAGGAACCTTTACTGGTTAGTGAAACTCCTCCATGTCCCATAAAAAAACGAATGTCTTACAAAGTAGGCAGGGATTTGAACTCTGGTCTCTTACACCATAATCAGAGGTGCTGTTCCCTTGGCTATACTGCCATGGAGAACAAACTGCGAGGAACTTTTACTGGTCGATGAATCTACCTTGTGATCTTCCAAAGAAAATCACAAATGTTACAAAGTGTAACAGTCTTTTTGGGTGGCAGGGATTTTAACCCAAATCTCCTATGCCATAATCAGAGGTGTTATCCTCTGGGCTGTTCTGCCATGGATAATCAGTTGTGAGAAACTTTTAATAGCTGGTGAAACTCTTCCATGGCTTTCACAAGAAAATAGTGTATCTTACAAAATGTCACAATTATACTTCTTCAGAAGTATAATCATCAGTGCTGTTCTTCCATGGCTTCTGGATTACTTGGGACTTTTGGTGTGCCAAAGTATCACAAATATAATTGCTTTTTGTTAACTTATTCTTAATTCTTTTTGACAAATGCTGTATAAATCAATGGATGTTGTTGTTGTTCTCTTCAGGACAGAATGCCTTGGCTGCTTCAGCTGCATGAAGTCATTCAGAGGTTGGTGTAACTACCATTTTGACACATGTACACACACCCTTAGATGGACAATTTCTGGTAGTCTTTGAGAAAGACATAAATGACGAAGATGAAGCGCTAAAGATACGAAAAGTGAAAGTATTTCCCCACTTTTAGACGTCTGCATCAACGTCAAAGACCGAAGTCATAGTTATATTCTTCTGTCTCTTCACCCTCACATCCGTCCCGTCCTCTACTTCTCCTCTCTGTCCTGGAGCATCCCTGCTGTTTAATCCCTGCCTTCTTTAGCACTGTTATATCTGTGCCTGTGTGTCTTCACATCCCAGAGAAAGAAGCTCAGGCTCCAGTGCTTTTGTGACATGCTCTGCCCTGAAGAGTCTCTACAGACAGATCCTGCTGCATGGCTCCAGAGCTCTCCACCAGCATTTCCTGCCTCCTGTCCCCACTGATGTCTTTTTTATCTTCCTTCACGGTGACTACAGTCTGATCCAGCAGAGGATGGTGTCCCGGAGGGGTCATTACATGAAAGCAGACCTTCTGCATTCCCAGTTTAATGTCTTAGAGTCTCCACTGGATGAAGAGAATGTGCTCTCACATGATATCACTAGGGACATTAATGATATAGCCACGGACGTCCATAGGCACATCATGAGCCTCGGGCTTATCACTGAAGGTAACACCAGTTTTTCCACTGCAGCAGACTGAATGAGAAATTTGCAGAAATGGAACATGACTGTTTTTAGGGGATTTGTTAGTGTATTCAACACTGGCTCAGAATATGATTAATCAACATCTGGAGGATGGAGGACAGTGGTAATACCAAAGTAATCATGATGCCACCTATTGATTGTGGCTGTCAGCTGACATTTTCTCCAGTTTGTTTATTTCGAAGTATTAGCTAAGTGCATGAGAATTTATCAAAATAATAATGTGAAGCAAATCAGCAGGTGTTGAAGAGGAACTTATTTCTGATTTTTCTGATTCTTTGAATTATTTTCAGGATATTTGTGATTTGGTATTATGGAGGAAACTGCAAGTGATTTTTTTTTCTAATTCAAACCTGTAGCACTGCCAGTTGAGACATACCTTTTTAACATAAAGACAAATAAATGGACTAAAGTGGGGGTTTTTCAAAGCATACTACAAGGGTTTGTTTTCCACAGCCTTAATAATTCATATGTATTCAACTTATTATTATATGTATAGTGTTGAGTGTTGATGTGCATTGATTCATTACTTTTTATGAGTGTGCACATAACAGCATTTAACATTCATGATCAGCCCTCTCTATCTTATAATCTTTGGCCTTATTTCATTTTGATTAACATTAATGTTATTTTGTTGCTTAAAGATTCCATCATTAAGTGATGGAAAAACCTGCTCCAGGATATTAAACTAACAAACTCACACTCTCTCCTTTGTATTGACCCTCTCTCCCTCTCTCTCTCTCTCTCTCTCTTTCTCTCTCTGACACACACACATTATCTCACTAAGCGCCATGCAGGTGTTTTTGCAGCTGTGATCTTTAAACCACTACCTGAGTATTTTAGGATGTTCTAATCTAGAAGAACCCCTTGGCTGCACTCATATCACATCACATATGCAGGCTACCTGTCACACACACATACACACTGCAACACTCACACTTCTGGAGATTAAGGAGTTCTTAATCTACTAGAGAGAAACAAAACGAAAATCACAAATTCAATTACAATCACTCAAACTCTATTTTATAACAGTCAGCTATAAATATTGTGTTAAGGACTATTTTAAATATATTTTCCCATTTTGTTTTATTAATTATCAAATTGATAAAATGTTAATTCTATTCAATTAAATGCCAATCACGTTTGTCAGGACAGTTCGACTCAGGAAAACTTGAAACTGCAACAGATGGAATTAAACTTTAATATAGATCCTATGGAAGTATAGAGTGCCCTACTGTGGCCATAGTGGAAAACAGTAGAAGAGTAATAACAGAGATGGAATGCCTATTTAAGTTCCGTTAGTCTTGTTAATGGTATTTTCTAGTAACTGGTATCTTTTACCCATGTTTACCCACAAGAAATAATGTTGAGTTAATTAAATTTGTTTAATAAAGTAGTGAAGTAATTATATTTTAAGAAAATTGTGAAGCAGTATGGTTAGATTTTAAAGCATTATATTGATAACGATTGTAAACTCATCACTGCATCAACTCTAAATAGAACAGTGTATAATTTACACAATATAGCAGAAAATAAAAATGTTCTTGATTTTAGGTTATCAGCTATGTGAACACATAATGTGACAATGAATAAGGGGTTTCAAAGAGAAGAAATAAAAGTATTTAAAGGAATTTAATAAAATAATTATACAAACCATATAGCGCTCAAATAAAATAGTCAGCGTTTGAATCAATAAGAGACACAATAAGTGTCTCAGAAACAGAAAGAAAAAATATATAGTTTTTGTGAAGCCAGATTTGACAAAATACACACTTCTTTCATACATTTTTTTTTTTGTTTTACAAGACAGAGAGATCAGACACATATCGTAATCTCTGTGCATTGATGTAAAATTCCCCGCCTGAAGGCCACTTCCGGCCAATAAACACCTCACATTTGGCTGATGACTACATATTAAAATGCTTTAATTTAGTTTAGAATATATTCAACAAAAAATACTTTTTGTATATCTTGTGTACAGAATATTAAACAATGGTGTGCCAGTTAGAAATACCGGGTAACAGCAGGTTATCAAAGTGGGAGGTGGAGATTAGTACTTTTTGTTTCTGTCCTATAGATACTCATCTTCAGTGTCTTTAATATTAATGTACGGTAAGTAAATTCTACCTTTAGTGCACGGTTTCACCTGAGGATATGTCACTGTACACAGTGGTGATGTAAATGTGGCTTGCATGACTCTTTGACATGATAATATTTTGTAAATTCTTCTGAGTTTAAATGTGTATATAGTGTGTGTTTTAGTTACTGCACAGTTGTGTCATACTGTTAAGCTTCCTTCCAAACGTGATCACATTTGCTCATCTCTCTCTGAAGCATTGAAGGCAGAGGTGATCTGTTCTTCTTGGAACTCGGTCTCTTGCTGATGAGTCTGTGAGGAGAGAAAACACAGAAGAGCGAATTACAACAGATTTTGTACGACAACACAAATAAACAAGTCAGTGAGTCTGCTGCTCCCCTGTGTCTCAAGTCTGTTTGGCTTTTCAAACCCATTTGAAAAGCCAAACAAACAACCCCATTCACAGATAAATCAGTGTGAATATATACATTTTTCTTCTTTTGGACTCCATCCACATTGGTAGAATCTATAGGTAAGAAAGACATTTACAGCCCCTAATAATTCTGAAAAACCCTAGATGGCCACATAACAATGTTTAATTAGCATTTTTATCTTTGGTTTACAAAGTACAAACATGCAGTGAAACGATTATTTTAATGAGTTTTCGGCTTGATGGCGTTACCAATATTAGTCATATACAGAGGCAGATTGCAGTACCCCATTATCTGCTGTAGTCAGTGCCATCAGCATCTGATGCACAAACTGCTGCTGCTGCTCTGTTACTGTGGCAACATGAGGACCATTTCCTGATTGGTTGGTCAGGACTGAATTAGAGGTGAGGTCAGATGCAGTACTGGTGCTATTGTTACCAAATTCAGCCCTGCAAAAAAAAAGAAATTCAGACAGTTTTCCAAACATCATAATGTATATAAAATAATTAGGTGCAAAAGTTAAGAATAGTGGGAGGGGTTTACACAGGTAGGAGAGCAGGAGCTTCTGCAGCAAGCGTCTGCAGTCCCTGCTGAATCTGGAGCAGGGCCTCCATGGCTTTAGGGTTCATCATGGCTAACAAAAGAGCTGGACTCTGCATCTACACAAGAGTCACAATCATAAACATGTGGTATTTTAGACCTGCTCATACGGTAGGGATAACAAATAAGAAAACGTTGGAAAATATAGAGACCTGTTGCAGAAAGACAGGAAGCTGCTGCCTCATCTGTTGCTGAAGCTGAGGTCTGTCCGAGAACAAGGGGTGACTCAGCAACATCTGAAAAACTCAGCAAAATTTATTCACAGTTGAAAACATTACAAAGTAATACAAAAGATCATATCTCAACAGCAGTATGTGCGAATTTCTTACTAATATAACTTGTACAGACAATCTAAGTAAATAAATTCCTGTTAAATCACAGCATGACATTCATTCATCTTCTACGCTCAAGGCTTTATCTTTTACATGTTTTGAAGTGGCGCTGGAGACAATCTCAGCAGTCATAAGGAGAAGGCAGGACACAGTCTGGACAGTTCACCAGTCCATCGCAAGGCCACATATACAGTAGAGACAAACAGCCATTGATTGCTGTGATCAATATAGAGTGAACTGTTGGCCTAATGTGTGATTAGACTGCAGCAGGAAACAAGAAGGAGAAAGGCAGTAAGGCAGGAGAACTAACTACAATCCATCACCTGTGCAGCCAGGTCAGGGTTCTGACTGAGGCATTTCAAAAGACTGCTGACGTATGGTCCAGAGAGAAGACTTCCCATGAGACCTGGACTGGCCATGATCTCCTCCAACAGAGACTGAATTCCTAAGGAAGGAGAGCAAAAAAGTAAAATAAGTCTGAAAATATTAGGATGGATATTTTCTTTTGTGTCAAATTAAAGTGGACGTGTATTTTCTTGCCTGCAGTGATGGAGCTCTGAGAGTCTGGCTCAGCAGTGAGTTCTCTAAGAGGGTCTAACAGGGTGCTTTGACCAGAGGAAGGTGATTTCTGGTCGGTTTCTGCCTTCAGGGGTAATCCTGTCTGGATTTTAAAGAAGACTGTGAAGTTTGATGTGATCATTTGATCTAAAAGTAGGGAAGTCCAATATTAACTTTGCTAATATTGGATATGCCAATATTGTCCAAACACTTAATTTCTGATCCTGATATCAACAAATATAGGCCTGGTAATATTAATTTACGTAACAAACCACTGTATGAGTATGAGATTAAATAAATGAGCTGCAATGCTGCCATCTAGTGCTTTTCACTTTAATATATAGCAGTTTATCCACAAAACTATTTTCAAGGCACACATCAATTGGTGAAACTCATTATCAGAGGAAAAACCGATAATGATTCTTACAGATATTACATAATATGCTAATATCAGACCAATAATATCAGTCGGTCAATATTATTGGACAATTGACGAAACCAAGACAGGTTTTCATTATTGAAGGAAAAACCAATAACGATTCTTACAGACATTACATAATATGCTAATATCGGGCGATAATATTGGTCGACCGATATTATCAGACATCCTTGTCTAAAAGGAATGATCCAGACCTGCAGCAGTGTAAGATGATCCTGTTTTTTAGTTTTGGTCTCGTGACGACCATAGGAGTCACTAGTGAAGGTTTCTGGTGACTTGTCCTTCTGTGGGTGCAAAATGTCCCCATGAGACATCACTTCTTCTATCATGTCAGGGTTCCTGAGGAGCTCCTGCACCTGGAGACCACATGTAGCCATTTTTGTCCCACTACTTGATTTCTGTTCTATATTCTCCCCAGTTATAGTATTTTACATTTCTTAATGACTGTGCACCCACCTGTGTGATGATGTCTGTGTTATTGAGCGTGTCTCCGATCTCTGGGTTTGTCTCGAGGAGCTGCTGAATTTGGGGATTTGACAGAATAAGTTGTTTGGTTATTTGTGGGCTCGACATGGAAAGTGTGCTCTGCACTAGAGGGCTGCCCACAAGACGACGCATCATTTCTGGGTCACCCAACAGCTGCTGCTCCATCTGGTGCTGGATGGCTGGGAAGAAGCCTGGCCCACTGTTAGGCATGCAGAGATCATCCAGACCTTCAACTGTGGCACAAGGATCAGGTCACAGCAACAGCAGATAAGAAGATCAAACTGGAAGGTCAGGTGAAAATCAACAGGAAATTAATCCAAACCTTACCTAAACAGAGGGGTGAGGTGGGTGAGGGAAGGAGGTTTACAAAGTCAATCACATCGGGGAGCCCTGACTGGACAGTCTCTGAGTTTACGTCTCCAGATGAAACAGCAGACAAACACTGGGGGCTAAAAAGAATGATAGGAATGCGGAAACTTCTGGTTCATTTTTCTGTGCCTTCTATTGATATCTTTAGGGATGAGTTTCATTTTTATTAAAATTACTTCAGATTAAGTTTTACTCATACTAAGATAATACTAAAATACTAAAAATTATTTATTTTCACCAACTACTCAACAACTTAAAGTCCTTGATGCAGACAGTAGTATTTTTCTGGTATCAAACGTAACAATATAAAACAAAATAATCAAAAGCAGTTTATTTTTATTTTTTCTGTCATAAGTGTAATGTTTTATAAATTATTTACACACAAAATCTACATACCTTATCTTGTAATTCAAAGTCTTTCTTTTATTTAGTGCTGCTAACACCAACATACTTTTTAACTAGAGCTCTTCTGAGCAAATCAGTTTTTCCAGCTTTTTTTTTTTTTTTTTCTTTCATCACTACAACACATTTTAAACAGAAGTTTATTATTGTTGTTGTTGTTATTAAAGGGAAATATATAAATCAGTGTGGGCGGGATGCACCCTGGTCGATTCCCAGTTCATAACAGAGACTCATGAAGACCATTCACACCCATGTTCATACATATGGTCAATGTGAAAGGTCCAACTTGGGGAAATCATGTAAACCCTGAACAGAAAGACCCTCAGTTACTGCGACGTGTTTATATCTGTATGGGAATTATGGGAAATATACAGTATATGAAACTATAGGATTCATACCACACTATGAGGAAATATACCTCTGGATCATGCAGAGTCTGACAGAGTCACCCTGTCCTGTCAGGTCACCCAGGACTTCAGACTCTCCGAGGACTCGACCAGAGTGGATCACCACCAGCTGCTCAGCAGGGGTCTCTAAACGACCTGACAGGACCTCTTTAAGCTGCGCCCAAGGAAAGACATCAGTCATAGGCAGAATTATAGTGATGAGATAGTCGAAATCTAATGATGGAGCTACAGCATTATGACAATGATGATAAACAAAATCAAAACCGTTTTAGACAGTACCCAGGGAAGACCCGTGTCCTCACTGACCTCCGTGACGCTGCAGTTATATCGCACCGTGAAGGCGTTTCTCCCCGTGAGACTTGTCACAGAAACATGGATCATTTCAGCCTTCTGGCTTCCACCTACTCCATCTTCATCAGTGGATGACATCTGTTTTTGTAGTTCAGCAGAGACGGACGGTGGAGAAAAGCAGACCCGGAGCGGAGCGTTTTGAACCAGAGCTAAGGAGAACGAACGTCCGATGACTCGGCAGAAAGTTGTCTGAACGATGTGAGCCACTTTAAGAAAGGAGGGGCAACCTACGTACACGCGTTTTCACATACAGTTTTCTGTTTAAATATAACGGTATTTTGCTTAATCACTATCTGTATATTTAAATAATAAAAATAATAAAATAATACACATAATACGCTGAATCTGCTGCCATTATTCAAAACTGGGATGACCTCAACTATATTTGTTTTTTTCTTTAATTAAAACATTTTAAATCTCAAATAAGGCAATGTGTTTTCTCATGGCTACTACAAAATTACATTAAAATCATCTCACTGAAAAAGTACTTTATTTACTTTACAGTTGAGACAAATTCAATCATGTTGGTGATAACCTCCCCCCAAAAAACCTGTGCCAGCAGATGGCAGAACAGGACAAAATCTTCAAACTCAGTCATTCATTATAATGTCCAAGCAAGAGAGCATGCAATTTATGCCTACAGAGAAGTCAAGCTGAAACAAAACATAGAGAAACCCTGATTCTGATCAGCAGCATTTTTCTTAATGTCTTTGTCAGTTTTGTGTTGAGGGATTTTGCCCTGAAAACTTTATACATCCATTTCTGAGCCTTTCCTTCCTTTTCTGTTTGCCTGTAAAGCACAGAAGCACAGAAAAGTTCACTATGATTATGATGACGAATGTAAAATTTAAACAAGCAATAGACACAATTATGTCACTGAATAATAAATGATGACCTCATCGGTGGTGGTAATTTGTCCATATAGGGGAGAATTTCTCGTTAATAAATAGTTCAAATGTATTTTTTATTAATATATATATATATATAATAATTAATAATTTTTTAATGTTAAGTAGACAGAAGAGAACCGTCCTTTTTTGTTACGATAACATTTCCACAAAGTCACAAGTAATCAGGAAAATGTGAGTGACTTTTGGCATCTGCTTGTTTGTTTTGCACTTATGGACTTGATAACAGGTCTACTGCATGGTTGCTAAACTACATAGACTTGGATTGTATAATCTCCGGACCCACCTGATGTTTCGGTTGTTCCGACTGCAGACCTTTGACCTTAGACCTTTCTTGTTCAAGAGCAGCATGCAGTAATGTTACCTACAAGAAAATACAATCTAAATACATAGAGCAAATGTACAGAAATGTAAATAATTTAAAGCTTTCATCGTTCTATGAAGGTAACACACCTGTGATGAAAGTTCTTCTTTTATATTTAGAAGCTCTTCTACCTGTAGAAGAATCTCTGCTTTGTCTTTCACTGAGTGATATTAGAAACAGTATTAAAACACAGAGATGTTAGTTAGCCGTCACTAGTGTTATGAGCAAGTGAGCAAAAATTCAACTCACTCTCTCCCTGCTGAAGCATCTTCAGCAGCTGAGAATTCCGGGCCTTCACCTCTTTATATTTCCCCTGCAGAGGTTAAAGGATAATGAGTTGTTAAAGTACTTTGACAGAAAACAGGTCAAGTATGCTGGATAACAACTACATACATGACAAAAGAGCCCTGTATCTGAAAAAAAAAAATATATATATATATCTGAGGAAAACCCCCCGAAATGATCAGTCAGAGGTGATAAAAGCCAACCTCCCACAGTGAAATCGTCTTCTTTAACTTTTCAATTTCCTGGTCTTTCTTCTCCAGTTCATATTTCAGCTGCTCTGCCCGTGGGTCCTATAAGTAACAATCAGGACATTAGAAATTAAACAAAACAAAAAAAAACAATGTCATTACATTAATTGTTTTTGCATTCACATGTGCTTATAAAAGTAGTAAAAGTATAAATACAGAACAACAATAAACACCCGAGGTATCATTAACACCGTCAAGCTTTTTACAGACTCTACTCACCTGTTCATGTTCTGTGGATGTGTTAACTTCCTGTCCCTGACTGTTAACGAACTGCTCACGTCTTTTTTCCTGCTGGATGATCCGACTGACGTCGTCTTCCAGTTTATTAAAAAACCTCTCGTCCTGATTAGGTTCTAGTGCCTGGTTAGCTGCTCTGTCATCCTGAATTTCAATGACAACTTCATTTAAAGGTTCTGCACATCGCACACAAACAACCCAGGCACAGGTAACAACAACTGGTACCATTTCATTAAATTTAACAGGTGTTTTACAGAGGGTAGTAACATTAACCTTTCTTTGCTCACCTCTTTGTCTTGTTTCTTACAGGAATGTTCTGAAAATAAATAAATGTGTCCTTGTCAACCATTACTTTAACCTGTTTGATAGGTTACGGTGAGAATATAATTCCTCTCACCTGCATTTCCCACAGCCTGAAAGTCCTGCAGAGAAACAGTCTTTTTGTCTTTTGCCTGTTGATTCTTCTTTTTCTCCTTCTTCCCTCCTGACTCTTTTCCTCCTCCTCCTCGTGATTTTGGCGAACATGTGTTTGTGTTGTTCTGGGGATTAAATAGGATTCTTTGATTTTAGCTACTAAGTTTTTCTTCAAAGATTACTGCATAATTACAGTATGTTGTTAATAAACTTTTACAGATTTTTTGAAAAAAAAACTTAAAGGGAATTTGTTGTTATAAAACAACATAAGATGCAGCTACCATTTGTGGTATTCTACTTTAGTTTTTTATATTATAATGGATTTTAAATCAAATCAAGATAATGAGGTAAAATGGATTCAAAATTTTGTAATTCTTGTTATTTTATTTCACTACACCTTAGTTAATAATTCAATTAGACTGTGTAACACAAAAATATTTAATTTAGAAACAGAAATTGTCTATTTAGAAAAGTATACAGTCCCTTCTACCTCAAAACATGCATGTTATATGCAAAATAAAGACCTGGAAAAAATAGTGATAAAAAGAATACAGACCCTCTACTAAAAAGAATACAGACCCTCTACTACTAATGATTACGAAGATCATTTTTACTTTTTAAAATAAAGAAATTAGATGCAGTGAAATGTATTACTATCTTGTATCATCAGCCAACTCTTCAGGGTGGAGAAATAATTGGAACAGCTATTTATGTTAGGGAACAACTGTGTTTGGTAAGTGCCATGTCATATTGTACAGTACATATGATATGGCACTGAGTACACTCAACGGCTCTACAACCATCTGAGCCGAGTGAGGACACACTAGGTCAAAAATGCTTTGCAAAATCCAGCCCTCAGGGCTGGGTGACCTCAGACAACGTTGTACTCTCATTCATTTTACTATTTGAGAAATCTGGGTGTTCTTCCAGTAGCACATTTTTTGTGCTTTGTTGTTGTTTTTTTAACAATATGCTGTGTATGTGTAAATGTACGCAGCATACCTGTTTCTGTTGTTCATACTCCAGTTTACTCATAAGTAAGGCCTTTTCCAAATCAGCTTCATATAATTCTGTGGTTATCTGGGGAGGGAGGAAAGCACATTTGCTGTTTGTGTTCTATCTGACATACATTTGATGGGTTTTGGCCAAAGTACCATACATAAAAATCACACATTTATTCATTTTTTTCTGATTTCTGGTCATAGTTATTCTCTTTCTGATGTGTGTTATAGAATTGTAATTTTTTTTACCTGCTCATCTCTCTGCTTCCACTGCTGCCACCCTCCTGATTGAAGACTTTGATCCTCTACTGAAGGGTTGAGAAGTTCACTGGCTATTCCCGACAGTGTCATACTGGGAGGCGGGGCACAAGACTTTTGAGGTATTTTCTTAAAGGCCAAATTACGCAACTGTAGAAAAGAAATAAAACCTCATCTAAATGTGTGTCCTAGTGAACACCAATTAAGTTGGATTGGAGCAATTTTTAACCTAATATATATTAACCTAGTATATTTTTATACTTATATTGTTTATATATATGTTTACAGTGTAGGTAAAGCTTTTTTTAAAACTTAAATCTTGTAAAACTGGGGGAGTGAAGGAAAACAGTGTGGTGATGTGTCATTGGCAAATTTGTGTATGGTTGTCATACAAAGCTCTACATACATTATAATGAAATATAAATCAAAAAAGTCACCAAATGCTGCTGGTTTAAAACTTTTAACTTCTGAGGAACACCATTACACAATCACTGCTATTGTCCCTACTGTGTGTTTTTGAAGCAGTTGCTTCAATCTACACAATCACCTCGTTAGCTTCACTCTGCTGCTGTTCCTTCTTCTTCTTTTTCTTCTCTTTCTTCTTGTCGTTACCCTGCGCTGCCTTCCCACTGCCCGTTCCTGGTTTTCCTTGTCGGGGTTTTCCCGAGGAATCCCGTGCTCCTTTACTGCTACCCTTTCCGGGCTCCGATGTTTCAGAGTCCGAATCCGAGTCTATCTGGAGCAGGGCAAAACGAGAGGCAGTGGTAGGAACTGTGATCATAGCAGATGATGCCATTGCTGGAATGAAAGAGATGAGGGGAGAAAACAGAAAAAGTCCAATAAAGAACACTTAAAGTAAAAACAATAAGTACGCATTTAGCTATTAGTTTGTTTTTACATAAATAAACACAAACACTAATTTCATCCACAGATTGTGTCGACAGGATGTCAGTGAACGCTTTTGTTGAGACGGAAAAAGCTAACGCAGACTAGCACTAAATTAACCTAGCAGAGCATTAACAGCTTAGCCGGCCGGCTTTAGCCACAGTTCCCGTACAAAACATGGATTTTTGCGTGGCAGGCACGAAATAAAAATTGTATTTACGTTTACGTTTCTGTGCTGGAAATGGAATACTTACATAAAGTACAACACTTTCACTTATTCGTGACTGGACTGTCTTCTGCTACTGTTTTATTACACAGCGAGTGTCTGGGTAGGTACAGGAGCCGGGAGAGGACAAACTTGATTTATTACAACAGCGCAGAATGTTATATTTAATATGAATAATTATACGTTTTTAGATATGTAGATATTTTCAATTTATTGATAAGTTCTCAAACCACTTATTAAGTGAATAAATATTTTAATTCAAAACGAAGACACAAATGGCCTTTATATACTAATACCCCATCGTAGCTTAATGTAACATAACAGATGATCAATACAGAGAAATAACAGTAAAACTGGTATTTACTGTTTTAATGACACAACTTTTATTTAATCTATAATCCAGCAACCACCATCCAGATCGAAAATTAACAGCTACTTTTGAAAGTGTGTCCCACCTAAACACTTTCTCATGGACATAATTTTGTGCAAAATCTATGAATATTCCAGTTTACATACCGTACTGTATATACAGTAGTTTGCATAGGTGTACTGACCCAGCTGTAAGGTAACCTATCTTGCTTTGTTACTAATCTATACAGGCAGTTCTTCAAGTTTCCAACAGAACCACAATGCCTATATGCAATTAAACCTTCAAAATATTTAACATAAATTAACATGATGCGAGGAAAAAGTGCATAAAAACAAGGGTATAAAAGAAACAAACAGACTGTAATACAGAAATTATGGTACTTTCTTCATGTTCTTAGTTATATGTTCACTATTTAGTAAAAAGAAAAAAAAAACTTTCCTCACTTTAAGTAGAAATGTATAACATTTAAACTACACAACATTTAACAGTAAAAAGAACTTTTCAGGGCAGCTCTAAAGAATCCTGTAAGATGGACCCCGTTTTATCAACATCAGACTGTGGTCTCCCTGTGATAGGATCAGAGACCTGAAGGTCCGATACAGAAATCTGCCTCAATTTCCTGCGGCACAGGCGGACAGGTGTCAACTCTAAACTCTGCCCACAGTCACCAGCCACTACTGCATTTCTGTCCTGTGTCTCTCTTTGTGTTTGTATCTGGCTGTATTCTAACATTTTGGTGTTTTGTTCTTGAAGGTCAGAGGACAGAGATCCCAAAGTGTGACGTTCATTCTGTGCCTTACAGTATCTTTGGCCACTTTGTAACTTTGTGAGTGTTGCTGCAGCAGGTTTCTGTGATTGGACTCTTTCAGTCCTTATCAGGGATTTGGTTGTTCTCGCCTCTACATGTGCAGTGTGTTTTGTCTGCACCTGTTCATGTAAAGACTGATTGCAGGCAGGTTCTTTGAGCTTCTGTTTGAGCTGCCGGCTGTAGCTTTTGTAATAAAATAATTCTTTCTCCAGATGCTGCAGTCTCTCGTGGACACTCCGCATTTGCTGCCCTGTATGGTCATCTAAACAGAAACAAAATGATGTTTTTTATTGAATATTCACATCTAAAGAAAAAAAAAGTTTTTCATTTTTTTTACCTTGAAGTTTTATTGTGAGAAGCTCGATGTTTTTCTGGTAGTCCTTGCACTGTTTTGTAAACTTACGGTCTGCCCCCAGGGCCACATGCTTCATGCTAATCTCCATGTCGCCCAGCGCTGTCTGTAGCTCTCCAACGTGAAGTTTAAGCTCTTCACAGTGCACATGCAAACAACGCTCTTTCTCACGGAGACCCACAACCTGAAAGTGTTAATACAACTGACTGTGTGAAAAATGAAGAAACAGAGTATACAGCCGTCAACACAAATTTATGCTCAACTCATATACTGTGATTTGTTGCTGTATATTAGCATCTATTTCCTTGTCAATGGAATATTACAAACCTGACATCAGAGGAAAATGTCTATTGGCAATAGTGCTTGGTGGATGCTTTATAATCTAATTCATTGCAATTCAACCTTTATTTGTCCTCAGGAGCAATTAATGGCATGCAGGGCAATAATCCATACAAATATTCACAGGTAAATGTATAAAAAAGTGAAGAGAAGAAGAGAAGCTAAAAATTATGTTCTATATAAAATATATATAATGTATTGATGCTTAAAAAAACAGACATTAGTTGTGCAGATATAAATATTCCTAAGTAAAGCAATACATTTCCAATGCAAAAGTGCTAAAACCTGGGTGTGCTCTAGATACTGATAAAAAATGCAATAAAAAAGAAACTAAAACATTTATAACAAAATACAAATATAATACTATGCAACAGACTCCTAACCTAATGTGTCAAACTCAAGGCACAGGGGCCAAATGCGGCCCACCAAGCTGTTTTGTTTGGCCCGCGGGAGCTTGAAAAGCATTTAGTAAAGTCCATGCAGCTGAGTTTCTTAACCTAAGAAATTAAACGTTTTTAATAATCAATCAAATAATAATAATAATAATAAATTGAATAAACATACATTAGTCTGTTATGGAGTAGTTACATTTATACTGGTGGCCCCCAACCTTTTTTTTGCAAGGACTCCATTGTCAATACCGCCCATTACAGACCAGTAGCAAGGTACAGAGCATTCTTCTGCTTCTTTTCCTTTCAGCTTTCTCTTTTTCAGGGGTTGCCTCAGCGAATCGTTGTTTTCCATCTCTTCCTGTTCTCTGCATTTTGTACTCTAACTCCAACTATCTGCATGTCCTCCCTCACTGCATCCATTTACAGTATCTCCTCTTTGGTCTTCCTCTTTGTCTCCTACCTGGTAGCTCCATCTCTAACATTTTTCTACCAATGTATCCACTGTTCCTCCTCTGCACATGTCCAAACCATCTCAATCTGGCTTCTCTAGCCTTTTCTCCAAACTTTCCTGTCTGTGTTGTCCCTCTAATGACCTCATTCCTGATCCTATCCAACCTTGACATTCCTAAAGAGAATCTTAGCATCTTTAACTCCAGCTCCGCCTTGTTTTCTGCCTATTGCTAGTGTCTCTAAACCATACATCATGGCTGGCTAACCACCGTCCTGTAAACCTTTCCCTTCACCTTAGCTGACACTCTTCTGTCACAGATCACTCCTGACACTTTTCTCCAGCTGTTCCATCCTGCATGTACTCTATTCTTCACCTCTCTTCCACAGTCTCCGCTGCTCTGAACAGTTGATCTTAAGTACCTAAACTCCTGCACCTTCACCACTTCTGCTCCCTGTAATCTCACCATTTCACTCCTTTCGTTTACACACATGCACTCTGTCTTGCTGCGGCTGACCTTCATTCCTCTTCTTTCTA